CATCTGTAGACCCATAGAGATGGGAGAAACTCAGTAGTTGCATTGCATCCCTCACTGGCAGTACTCCTGCACTATATTTTCCCATGGGTTTTGGTGGGAACGTTTTTGGTTTTGATTTGTTGGTTGGGGTTTTTTGTTTGGGGTGGGTTTTGTGGGTTGTTTTTAATAGCTAAGGCGTGAGTAGAAACTAACAGCCTTTTGCTATCTCAGTGAAGAGTATTGGGTTGTTTTTTCAGGATCTTTGTCTCACTTCTACTGCATCTTTGCCATAGCTTCCCTCTAGAGTTGTCTTTTGTCCCTTGAATTGCAAATACTGAAGCCTTTCATTGAGACAGTGCTTTAGCTCCCAGCCCTAGTAGGATATATCGGTCTTCTCTACATGCCTTGCCTTGCACTCAAGAGCTGGTTTGCTTGATGTTGTCTAGAGCTGCACAGACTTTATTTTTCCAAAACCGAACATTGTTGCAAAGTACTTGTCTCTTTTCTCAGGGCACCTGACATTGAAGACTCTGTCTCTCAAAGCATGGAGTTGGAAAGTCTGGGAGCTCTTGCCCTAAGCATGGCTCTCAGGATTTCCAGACTCCCTCCTGTATGGGCAGAATTTGGAGTGCTGAGTCATGCAGGAGGCCACTGGTCTGTGTGGCCACTGGTGGTCCTTCTGGTGGGGCTGGAAACCCTATGGCTGGCTGTGGAGCCACTGCCTGAACACAGTTTTGTCTTAAGTGTGTTCTGCTGGCTCAGAGAGTTAGTTCCCTTCTCTTTACTGGTTCTTAGGGCACAAAGATTCCATCACCTTTAGAGGCAATTTACCAATGTAGTAAAGCTCCCTGATTTGTATTAGGCATTTATTCTTTTAACAGTCTCATTTCATAAATCATATATATAGCCATCACTTCAACTCCCAGTTAGACACTGGATAAAAACAGAATGAGGATCTTGGTATTTTCCTTCCTTTTTCATGTTTTCTGTATTCAGATTTTTGCACTGAATTGAGTAACTTCTGCTAAGCAGTATTTATTTGTAACTGCTTACTAAATGAAAGAGTAAATATGCGTATTTAATTTTTCATAAGAAAATGTGTTGATACTTGTGCAAATTTAAATATATATTTGAAAATCTGTAGCATGTATACCAAGGATATTATTTCTGTTCTAGCATTCCAGTTTCATGTATAAAAGACTATTGGTTTGAGATTCTGGATGTTTACCAGCAGGTGACATTGATTCTAAGTGTAACTGGAATAATTACAGAGGGAAATACACAGATACAGAAGTACTGTTGCATGTCTAATTGTGTCATTTGGGCTTAGTCTAGTTTCATTAAATAGCCCATTGATACACAAGTCCTGCAATAAGAGATTTGTAGTTTCCAGTAGATGTAGCATGCTAACAGGTATAACAGTCTTGCTTTAATGACACTACAGTATGTTAAGAGCGTCTTCCATTATGTTCACTGAAATGCTGAAAAGAACGAAGTATTAGAAATGAATCACTATAATTATTGTGGTCAGTGCATTACCTCTCTAAATTCATGTTCAGAAGCTACCTTGCTGAAAAACTCCTACAGGAAATCCTAATATACATTTTTGGTGTTATGATCAGAGCTAAAATAAAGCTGTTTCACTGGAAATTGTGTGGTAAGCCTTCCAGGGGAAATGCTAATGCCAGGTTCATCCCCCATGAGAAAGAGCATCAGTTGGCTTTTTGGTGAAATGATTTCACCCACATTCAAACACATATTAAAGTTTCAAAACCCATGACAAAATGTTTAAAGACCGTTTCAAAAAACGCAGTGGTTTGGTTGGGTTGCTTTTGGCTGTGGTTTCCAAGCATCCATGTTTGAACATAGGCCAGTATGACCCATGGTTGGTGAGATGCAATAATGTTATGATCTCTGCAGCCAGGATCCAGCTGTCCCAGTCAAAGCTTACTACAGCTTCCTTCAACCCCATGCACACAAATTTCTATCTCAAAGAAACCAAGTTCCAGGAGAAAAGGGGTCCTTGAGCGCACCCCTGACACCTTGAAATGACTGAGGATGAACTTCTGGGGCTATAGGTTCAGCTGATCTCAGTTGCCTTCACTGTTTATGTCTTAAGGCTTTACATTTTTCCTTCAGCTTGCCCAAATTTCTTTTTCACTTCACTCCATTGTAGTGTCTGTTCTTTACAGTGGTATGGCGCTTGGCAGGCGTTCACATCCCCTGCTCTGCATCCTGGTAAGGTCAACTCTGCTCTTCCAGGTATATAGCCATATACAGCAATGACCTGGCTTAATTTGGTTTCACATGTTTCTAGACCTGACCTGTCTTTCACATAACTCACCTATTGCTTTTCAGGCTCCTTGATTCCTCCATGTAATTTCTCTTAAGTCATTCCTCTACAGAAACTGGTGTTTGTCTGTTTTCTGATGCTATGGAGATGCTTGTCTATGTGACGAGAAAGTCTGAAGGTCTATCTGTGCCACCTTTCCTATTCCTCTACAGAACATTTGAAAGAGCTCAGAGGAGCTGCTGATTTCGTGGAGTTTTTTTAGACTCTGCAAAATACTATTTTTACCATCACTAGATTAATTGATTATTTTCCAAATTAGACTGAAGAGCTTTCATGGCAAGTGTGACTAATAATAAATTTTAGTGATGATTAATATGTATCTAGAAATTACATTTGAATTTCAAGGAACATTTTTCCAAGATAGTGCCCATGCATTTTTATTTCCTAACATTTATGCATTCTGATATGTTTCTGTCCTTTTGTACTTTTTTTGGTCTTTTTTTTTGCCCCTGGCTTTTTTCCTCTCTTGTACAATGTGTATTTTCCCAAATGGGTCTCAAACAGCATTTTTTATTATACTGACAAGAACAGCAACACCTCTGTAGATTGTCCTACAGCAAAGGCATGACAGAATAAATGATCATAAATAAATCATCTTACATGATTTCTGTGTTTCCAGTCCTTCAGTTCCTCTCTCCAAGGTGCAAGTGCCCTGCAAACTGCTGCCTTGCGTAGCACTTGAGACCTAAAACAGATGCTGATAGAACAGATGTGATTGCTGTTTCACCTGCCATATCTTAGGATTTGAACCCAAGTCCCAAGTGTATGACAGAATAGGCACTGGAAGCCACCAAGGATTGACAGACCACGTTGCTTCAATTTTAAGTTACACATGTTCAGCTGCTTATTCTATATGTTCAAAGTGCTATTGGGAGAGGTCACTTTTTTTAGTCATAGAATTCAAATACTACATATGGCTTGTAGAAAGCCACTAAGCTGTGGTTTGGATGGCCTAAACTCTCCATATCTCAGTTTCCTATGTATAAACTAGGAGTAAATAAATTTATTTGCTCTGTACTTTTTTTGATGTAATTTATACTGGCAGTCTTTGGGATAGAAAGTTCAGTTGAAGCCTTTGCTACCATTGTAGATGTGTTCTCACAAAAAAGTCACATTAGTTGATGATGGAGAGTGATGCCTGCTAACGTATATCGCCATTTGCTGCATCATGTTGCCTTTCTTTTATGAACATATTCATGATCTCTGCATCGGAAAGATTGGAATGGAGGAGTGTCTGATGCTGCGTGTCATCTGCCTGTCCTATTATGTGTTTAGAAGTTCCTACCTCATACTGCTCATAGGACAGCTTCTGGTGCAGTTAAGTGCAGTACCCCTGAGCACAAGGGGCTCCATGGCAATGCATCGCTGTAAAGCACTTAGAGATGTATTCACAACTGTCCAAGAGTAAGATTTGTGCAAAAGATTAGCATGGAGATCAAGCAAAGATATGCAAAGAGATCTGGTGGATGGATAAGTCTTTGATGATGTCTTTATCGTAATTTATGTATATTTTGGAAGTCAGGATTTGTTACAGAGGTTTTTGAAAGGAAGTGTGTCTATTAATATGTTTTTGATTGTTCACACTAACTTGTTAAAATGCTTAAAACAGAGAAGGGACTTCCATAGTATGTGTGTACATGGATCTTGCCTGCAAAGCTAAGTGGTGAGGCAGATAATACTAGCATGCATGAGGACCCAGAGGTAGAAATTGGTAGCACCAGAATACCAAATACCTGGCTGATGTTTACTAGGTTTACAGTTCTCCAAACGGTGGTGCAATAATTCCGCAAGTAGGTGCATGTCTAATGTGCAACATTAACTGAAATATGTAGCCAATCAGCAAATGCAATCCATGGTTTAGTCTATAAAAATAGAAATATTTCTATTGAAATATCCTATTGGAATGAAGGAAGCCAAAGATCATAAATTGAGACTTTCAGCTACTAGACAGCTATTCCCTGGGGGCTATTGTCAGGCCAGCAATATGCCAGTGCTGTACAAAATAGTCCACTGCCTAAGTGGAAGGAAACACGAGTGACAAATGTGGTATTCAACTGAGGTTGTTATTATGGAGGTCAGAGTCCCTGGCTGATGGGGGAAATAGACCTTGCCAGAAGTGCCAGCAGAATGTTTACTAAGGGAATGTATTAAATAAGCATCAATGAAAAGTATACTCATAGAGAAGCAAATGTTTCGCCTTTTTTATTGCTAAAATGAAGTGGGTAATAACTATTAAAAATACTCGTTAATCTCTTTGAGCCATCTTTCCAACTATAAAGGTCTAAAAGTATTTTGGAGTATTTCTGAATTTTCAGCATTTCACGTGTTTTGGTAGAAACAGGCAGTCTTCTTTTTAAGAAACAGCTTGTCACATGGTACTGTGGAAGTCGTTATGTGGATTCACTGCTCTGTTACCTGCTTGCCATCACTGTAAGGATGTAAAACAGGAGATGTGGTGGCACGAAACAGAGAATTGTCACTCTCTAAAGCATGATTTTGACAAATCACACCTTACTGGCTCAGAAGCCCCTGCATACACCTGAGCAGAGAGCTGTAGAGCTGTACTGGTCACTGAGGTGCACAACACAGAGTGTGTTCATCTCTGCAAGAGACACATCTGTTGGCAGAGGAAGTTTACTAAAACTGCTGATTTGTTGGACCGTTTCAGGTGGGATTCCGTTTGTCCTCACCGGAGAGTTTTTCCAGCAGTCGCAGAGGCCGGCCGCATTCATGATAGCTGGGACAGTCAACTGGCTCTCCAACTTTGCAGTCGGACTGCTCTTCCCTTTCATTCAGGTACTCAACATACTTGATAATTACTATGATGTAGTTGGTATAGTGTGGCATACGATGTCTGAATAAAATTTTCAAGTTGTAATGAATGTGTTTTTATTGAGGTGGATGAAACTCCCACTGTGTTTGTGATAAAGTTCAGTTGTGCTACCCTCATGTCTCCTTGTTTGAATGTTGTGGAGAAAATTATCCTGCAATAGAAAAATTATTGTAACTCTGGTCAACCCTATACGGCCAGTTTCCCAAGGGAGAGCTTTAGCAATGCAGTCTGATGGCTGTGTCTGGAGTTCACAGTCACTCATGGGGGTTGTCACTGCCTTTTTCTTCAAACGTTAGGCTACCCATCTTCTGGTTTGAGAATCCTTACTAGTCTCACTGGGGAATAGATGCTCTCTGCTCCTCCCTCTGTCTAAGCTTGGCTTTGTGGCTCTTTGGAGTTCACACAGGAGCTGATTCTCTGTCTCAGGAGCTGAAGGGCAGCTGATCAGTCCCCTGACTGACCACGTCCAATCTCTTTAAAGAGCCATCCTGCTCCACTGATAGCAGTTTAAGAGTGAAGCTCACAACTACAGGACAAATAAAGAAGTCCTAGTTGTTTTTTTAAAATATACAGAGGAAAATACTAGGGGCAGGGAAAGGGCACAGGGGAGAGCAAGCCCTCCAGGCTACTTGCAGAGGTCCTCACACCCGGGAGAAAGATTTTGGATTACTCTTCAAATCATCACAGAGTGAGAGATTTGAATAACAGACAAGGAGGTGTTACTGCCTTCTTTTTAGGTGCTACTGCACTGTTTGTGCCTTCTTACAACTGAAAATTATGTGATACTGCAGTATCATATGCATAACAGTATTTGCAGATACTGTAAAACTACACCCTAAGACTTTATATGTTCATTTTCATTTGCAAGTGGAACTGCTTTTACTGAGTAGTATTGTTTAAAAATTGTCTATATGAGATATGGGAGAACTTATAAGCCTTGTAAAGTCTGACCCTGGATCTAAGTTTGACAATTTAAAATTTCTTTTAAAAGGAAAGTCTCTAGTAGTTTTGATCACTTGGATCACCTTGAAAAGTCAACATAACTATAAAGGCTGTCATCCTTCCAAATTCTGTGCTCCTACTAACACTAACTTCCTTACTGAAATCGACTAGTGTTTTTCACCACTTTCACAGTGAAGGACTTGCCAGCTTAGACATTTAAGGTGAGATTCTCGAAAGGAGGTAGAGACATAATTGTTTTTTCACTGAGGTCGTTAGAACATCTACCAAGTGACAGAAAGAACTGGACAATTCCCTTGTGTTTTTGAAAAACCTAAGCTTAGTCATTAGCATCAGTATGGTCCAGAGGGCAGCCACAAGCTCATCCAACAAGTTGATACTTCTATGTCGTTTAATAGCTGTTTCCCCAAGAAGAAGGGGACTGGCTGCTTAAGCAGCGTTAAACGTTGCCTTCCACCCCAGCAGTCCCACCGCCTGCCTCCATGGCAGTTGGGCAGGTGACAGGGAACAAGATCTCAAATCTAGGGGTGTATAATCAGAATACTTTTTTTTTGTTAATTTTTTAAATTATCCAGACGTTTAAGGAATAGTCACGGTTCTCCAAACTTGTGGGGTTTGCCTCCAGCACAAAACTGCAGAGTTACCTGAGCTCTGGTTGTCTGTTGGATCTAAATTCATGCAACTCGGGGCTCTCCCTTCTTGTTCTGCTTATCCCAGATCACCTGGTGGGAACCATTTTAAAAGACCCTCAGTAAATTCAAATAAAAAGGCAAACCACATTCTCCAACTTCTCATATGCATATTAAAGCTTTTTGAGTGATTTAGCATGCATCCATGCAAAGTTTGCTATAGCCTTGGGGAATTTATCATTTTGTGTCATAAAAATTTCCCGTTGTGTGATTACAAAACTACCATTTTAATTTTAATGAAGGTAAATTATATTTCCACCTTGCAGGGGTTTTGGCTTTCTCTTCTTTAAAAAGTAATAAACAGAAAAAGCTTAGAGCTTGGACCTAAAGATGAAAGCAATGTTACTCAGACTTTGATTTTTAAAGCTTTTTCACAAGATCAAACTGCAACGTCTCCTGTTTCCCTAACTTTCACTTCTTTCCTATTTCAGTCAACCTTAGTCTCAAAATTGAGCTTGTGAGTCACCTGTTTCTTTACAGAAAGGCAATAGCCTTTTCTTAGCTCATTTTTGTAAGTCTAAAACGGGAAAAATACCTTTAAAATGCCTTCACAGAACAAATGCATAGGCTCTTCTGTGTATTTAAATACTAACCTGTTTGCTTGAGAAACAGCAGACACTTTTTTTGATCAGTGGTGTGCTTCTACAAAATTATCCCAAAGATTTGGAAACAAATATGTTAATTTTAGAGTTACTCAAGAAATCAGCCAGTAGTTAGTTCTCCAAATGTCACCAATTAACTAGTTTGAATGCCTAGATTTTCTCCCCTCAACCATCTGTAGATACATATAATAAAATAAAACACTGGCTTGAGTCATGCATTAAAATGCATGGATGAGATTGAAAAGCTAGTATACAAATCCATTTTTGACAGATTAAAAAAAAAATTTAAATGTGGCTACTGTTCCAGCCCTCATCACTGCCTATTTGAGAGATTTGTGTGAAGGATCAGAACTGAGGTTAAAATGACAACCAATACTATATTGAATTCACAAATACATTTGATATTGTATGATTGCTAGGAGGTGTCTGATAATAGGTGTCAAAAAATGTGCATTTTTTAAACGCTCTTTTTGGTACAAAATAGAATAATTGAAGAAGCATTATTGCATGTGATCTTGGAACATACAGAGAAATTATAAACGATCTGGTTTTATGTTTGAAGCCATTTCGGACTTGTGTTTAACATAGAACTTGACCTTGTGAAATGTCACACGTCACCTTGAGTGACGCTCAACAGCGTCTCTCTTCCATTGCCATCACTTGAGAATGAAGGCATCTCTCAGAATGCACTCTTATCTAATCATTCCATAATTTATTTTAGCCAATGGAAATTCAGGGGGGCAGAAGAACATACGTATTTTAATTTTTTTTGTTTTGTTTTTTGGTGAACATGTAAGTTTTAGTGAGTAGTTCCAGGTATTTCAATATGTATGATAAGTTCATCTGCGTGGTTAGACTGAAGCATTCTTTTCAATAATTACATTGTAGGTATTTTATAAACCCTTCAGGTTGCTAAGAAGCTTAATACATGACATCAATTAGTCTTTCACTAGAATTCACAAAGAGATTTTAAAAAAAGAAATGAGCTTTTTACAAGGGGAGCAAAAGCATACTTGTTTGTAGGCAGCATAAAGGAGAATTTTGAAGGTCTCTTCTTTGTGTTCTGTGTGCTTTCTTCCTAGCAATGTGTAGTTTTAATCTAGTCTTGTACTTGCAGGCCTTTTAAAATTAGTCTAATTATAGCAGTGATTATGTGGCTTCTGTTATTCCCAAGATAATCGATTATGTGGCTTAAGTTTGCTGAATGTTGTTCCAAAATGTAGAGCCTGACAGATAACAAATTTTAACTTACTTTCCTGGAAAGTGACTCCACACTATGAAAGCGTGAATATTTATATAATAGACATGAGAGTAAGAATTCTTTAAGGTCAAAGTCAGCTAAGAGGATCTTCATCGCTGTCAGTGGGAAGGGTGTTAGTCTGGAAAATAACCAAAGCTATTTTCCTGCGCAGGGCTTCTTGATTACTAAGTGTGGATACATTAGGAACAATAGTAGTGCCTGGAGTTCCCTTTTGATATTAGCACTACACAATCTCCAGCAGTGATGCTTTTTATCTCTCCCTATTTACCCACACCCCAAAACAGACTGGGGTTGCATTTGCACCTATACCTCTTCTCAGAAGAGGGTCTTGAAATCTGAGAAACTGAGATTGGCTTCCCTGCTCATGTGGAAGCGGTATGTTTAACTTTCAACGGGGCACTTGGACCCAGCTTCACAGGTAGTAGTGTTTAACTGTTCTGTTAGTATGTCCTTAGGAACCTTTCTAATGTGATCAAGGGCAGAGGTGCCAGATGCCGATATCATGCCTTATCCTGCAAGACAGAGCAGGAAGTACTCAATGGTGGATGAGACCATACAAAGTCAGGTGATGGCAGTGGTGGTGGGGTACTCCTTTTAGTTGTGGTTATACAGAAAGAATAAGATTTAAGAGACTGTGGTATGTATTTTTAAAAAGAGGATGTTATTATTTTACTGCTGTCTGCACCATGTCCAGCAGCCAGCCCCTTTGGTCAGAGCAATCAGAGGCTCCAGCTCCTCAGCTGCACATGTCCCTGTCCCAGGTGGCTTTTGCTGCCTGTCAGATATGAGCGGGGCCTTGCTTTTCAGACTTCTGCAGCCCTCATGAAGCATAAACCTTTTTATCAGATTCCATTGGGATTAATTGGTTCTTTTGTTGATTGCTGCAGTGAATGTGAAGTTTACATTTAATGAGGTCCAGCACAAGGTCCTCTGCAGCAACTGAGCGTCACAAAGAGTTCGTTCAGATAACAGCTCTAGCAGGGAGGTGCTTTGATACCCAGCTTAGTTTAGAAAGTATCCAGGCACACCAGACCCGCTTGCAGTTGTTTCCCCATTCTTTATTATCCTCAGTCCAGGCCTGTTTCTGTTCACTGATTTCACCAGCAAGAAGGGTGATGAAGCAGAGAGAATGCATGTTATATTTTCAGATAACTGCATCAAGAAGGATATTGAGAAACCTTTTCATCATGAGAATAGTGTAACTGTGTAATGAGAGAAAATGTGTGGAGAAATTGTAGCTTGTCCGTTACTGGAGATCTATAAAAGGCAGGCGGACAGATGTTTGTCAAGAACTGAGGCTGCATTATAATGGGAATGGACTGGCTGGCATCTCTGTCCTTGGTTTTCTATGAGTTTATTCACATTTTGAAGCCTTCAGAGCAGGAATTGTCTCTCATTAAGTGTACACACAGCATGTGGCTCCTTTAAGGCTCCTTTGAGATTTTTTTTTT